CGTATGGGTCGTAAATACACTTCTTGAGTGCCAGTCTATGAATGAACTGACAAAAGATTACCGGATACACATGCCTGACGGGCTAAAGGACCGCGCAACCGGTTGTTTGCCCGAAGGGGAATTTTGTCGAGTAATTCATATGCTACTTATTGTAATACATATATATATATATATGATTTAAGGAGAACTACCGTACGAATGGATCTCATGGCTATAAATGGAGCATTTGAGTATCTCTCAATGTTGCTATTACGTACACTTTCTCTCAATTAATGATGCTACCGAAACAGCTGATTAGAAACAGACAGGCGTGGAATTAGGTATTAGATTAATCAATCCATTGTTAATCCTGTTTCAACGTTTGCTGCTTGTCCGAACATTAACGTCCATGAATACCATCAATCATAGACGGTGTTTCTTCCACTATCCTATAGTGAAATGCTTGTTCCAAAGAAATTTAAACGCCCCTGAATGTTTTTTTTCTCTTATGCTTTTAGTTATTTATTTGCTACCTGATGACTGGGGATCATTTCCTTGAGTCTGCACTCTACAACTCTTGGCTAACTGCGTGCTTGTTCGTGTCCCGTCACTAACGATGTATGTAAAAACAACCAGTGCTGATCTGGCATTGTAACCGTTGTTTTATTCCTCTGCTTTCGCTCTTTTTGTTTCCAATGTCCTCCTAGATCGTCCAGATCATTTTGGCCCCGTGTTCCGGCTCGACACGTCTCATGGGTCTGATCGGTCCACATGGTTCACTGTGTGTTTGTGAAATCAAGCCTGCGGGTTCATCTACCACGGCCACTCTTCCATCCCGTCCCCTGTATCAGTCTGATGCGTCCACTTCTGGCGGAGTAAATCCGTCCACTGCGATCGGTTTGCGGCGCGCAGGTGGCTTATTTCTACCCCCGTTAGATCGAACCGAATCGTCTGGACCAGAGCCATGCATGCATTGGTCCGCTCTGACCTACTCTGGTCTACCGGAACTCAATCCCGATCGAAATCTGGGTCCACTCCTTCACCTCGGTCTACCTCGATTACACAGCGGGCCGTGGGGTGGACCTTGGGGCAAGCATCGTCCCAATTGTCCCCTGCTGCACAGTAACGGTCCGGTCGCCGATTGCCCCGGTCCTTATTATATCCGTTCCTGTTCGGATCCGGTCTGGTCGGCTTTTGATTCGTCCACTGAGGCAAATCGTGAATTCCAGTCGAAATTGGCTTGCATCCCACAAACTGTCAATTGAAAGACACATGTATGCTGTACATCACGTCAAGCCGAAATACACCGATCTGTAAAATTGACGCATACATTTTCTGTTTCTAGTGTCCTTCAGTGATTCTTTGTCTGTCTGTCTGTCTGTCTGTCCGTCTGTCTATCTGCCTGTTCCAATCTCTCCTACTGGATTGATGTACTGACTTGTCTCTTATTAGTTCATGGGATATGCCCACGGGAGCTAAAGTATCCGGTTTATTGCAAATCGCTTTACGAGCCAAAACAGCTTGCCATCTGGCTGCCACAAAACGTCTGTCGCACGGTCGGATAAAATGATTGTGTGTTCTACTTAGGCGAATTGACCCCCCCCCCCCTAACCCTTGTGTCTCCCAAAACGCCTTTTTGTACTTCGTGCTCGGTGCCTCAAATCACATTCGCACGTGTGTGTTTTGTTTTATCCCGTGGTATCGCATCGGATATCCCAACCGCGTTTTATTTGTGGCAAGAGTATTTTACGCGCGATGTTCATGTAGGGCAGATAGTAAATTCAACTTATATTCATCAGCACGAGTAATTCGAGTTTGAAACGGTTCACATCACAGATAAGCACAATTTGACCTGCGCACATTGTTAATCCATCATCATTGTGTTCAACCGGAGTCCTTAGGCTGAACTGTGCTAGTTCTATGGCACACACACACACACACAGACAACCCCACTCCAACCGGATACACACGTATCTCGCTCGCTCATAGATCCGTGCCAGTTGGTTTACCGTGGTTACCGCTGGTCTCTCTCTCGCTCGCTCTCTATGTGCATGCATTAGGACAAATTATTTCCTAACCGATGGATGACACGCCGTATCCATGCTACCTGTCTGCTTTTTGCTTTTCCGAACGCGAGACTGAGACTGGGTTTGGACAAATTGTGGTTGTGGTTTGTGGTTTGTCGAACTAGGTCAGCCTTAGTTCAATTCATTCAGTCGTCCGTGGTTCGGTTGTGATTCCGATTATCCGGACTCTCATTCTTGTCAGACGATGACAAAACAACAACGAAGTAGAGGAAGAAGAGATAATAGGCCGAGAAAAACAAATGAAACAAATGGAATATCGTAGAATCAAATGGTTGAGAGAAATGATCATGTATTGATCATCTGCCAATTTTAGCCGAATCTCCCGGGAACACATCGGTATCTATCGGACTTATACGTGAGCCAATCTGTGCGGGGTTTTTTTACACACCAACGGAATCGGCTCGAATGGTATTGAGCAATTTGAGTTTTTGGTGATAATATTTGGGGTTTCTTGTCCATCCGATATTGTTTTGTTGTGGACTACATTAAAAACCCAGAATCATTGATCCGAAAGTAACAACAGTCGATATCAGAGGTTCACTTGATGATAGTAACACCGTTATATTCCTAGTGAGCTAGTTGTGTGTGTGTGTGTGTGTGTAATCGTTTTCCGTTGCTTTGGATATAAAATGGTGCGGATATTTTGCCATACTATCACGCTTATGTGGTCAATAAGAGTTCTATGTGTAATGGGAATTCCCACTGTAATACCGTTTGATCATCAAACATTGCCTATCGATTAATGGTCATGCCCTAGAACAGGTCACGTGCTACGCGATTTCCATCCAGTAACCAACAAATGCATCATTTACGTCGCTAATCTAAAAGTTAGTTTTGGATAGAAATAGTCCGTAAATACCGTCAGCGTGACAATCTATCTTCAGGCTCTTATCAGATTGAACTGTGTATCTTATATAGTTGCCTTTCTTGCAATGGTTTAGTCGATAGCATCCGAGCAAACCGTATTTTTCCGGCTCTTATTCACTTTCCACTCTAACTACATGACCAATAAAATTTACGACCTCTCCCTTGATATTGATGACCCGGTCACCGTTCCGAACTATTTTATTGCTACTATCCATTGTCTCATACAGCACAAATTCAAGTCTAGTTTTAGTAATGATCAATTGAGTCATGTGCTAACAGCTACAATCCCTGGACAACCTTATCCCGAGCAGTTCGTGCATTTGAGTATTTTATATGTTTCCGTCCAGTCACAATAATTTCATGCGCATTGATCAAAAGTTTCTGACATTCAACTTTGTTTTATTTGATCTTCGCTTCACCAAGGGCTGCTTCATTGGTTGCTCACTTTTATGGGAGGAGGTTGACGGTGAAGGCGGACTGGCACTATCAGCCTATTCGTCTAAATTAGTTTACTGCCTCCGTACTTCATCGGAAAGCAGAAAATGTGATGCACCAGTCAGAATGCTTGATGATTCAATTACTGATCCCACGTGAAAATCGATACTGAAATGGTGAGACACAAAACGTAGTCGGATAAGATAATATAAAAGAAACTTTCTCATAACTGTTCATACACAATAGCAGTCATTGTGAGCAGACAATGTGTTCTGCACATGCCCGAAATGCAAGTGTTTTCTTGCTTGGATTTTGAATTTGTTTGACCGAGTGATTCTTGTCTCATTGTTTTCAATTCTGCTCATCTACTTGTATCACCTGTGTTATGCGTTGGCAACTTTTTCCCTTCCGGGTAAACATGTGATATTTAAATCCACCTGACTCTACCCCCTCCTTCTCCGTTTTCTCTCGGTGATTCATTCAGGATCCCAGACACCGATGCAACTCAATTGTGGAATAAATATTATGATCTTTGGTGCGTGTGGACCCAATCAGTTAGTTTTTTCGTTAATTAGTTGATCGGTCAGACACACAACTCGACTGGATCCACCCTATTTTGCACTTGACTCCAATGCACTACATCCCGTGGATGGTCCTACGCATGTGATCGGCACAATTGAGCACATGTTTGCACTAATCTGTTTTCCCGTGTGTGTCAATTTGCTGTGATCTTGCCTCTCACTCACTGTAGCCGGGTCCGATTAGCAGTCTGCTGTGTTGTTTGGGGCCGATCTACCGAATCTCTTTGCGACATTAGCCTATCCGAATCCTCTCTTTTCCCATTGGCACTGCTTCCAACATTACCCCCACCTCATAATTCATTCAAATGAGTTGCCAAAATGTAACCATCAGAACCAGTGCAAAAAAGTACATGGTTAATGCTTGTATAAACTGAAACTGATACAACTGAAGACGGTACCATGCTTTCCAATGACCGTCCTTTGAATAATGCTTTAACAGTAGTCCAAAGTTCAAAGTATAATGAATAAATGCGATCATGATGTGTGGTTAACACTGGTGCGTTTGCTGATCATTCCTGTTCTGTTATTAGTTAATAGTTGATTATTGAAGTCCCAGTGGATGAACCGCATTTGTGTTATCTTCTATTTCTCCGCGGGACCGATGAACGCGGACATCTCGGTCGAAAATATTTCCTATCTTAAGTATAACTCAGTTTCTATACGAACTGCATTATCCATCCACTGTGGTGAACTGCAGTTCTCAGACGACTTTGACAACAATTGTCACCTGCTTACCATCTCGCAGATGTGTGTTACTGATTGTCAACTTTCGTGCACATTTCACCCCCTTTTATCTTACAAATCCGTTGCGCATCTGATTATAGTCGCACTTGTTCACCGTTGTTATCACCAGCTGTTGATTTATCTCGTCAGTCCTTAGGTGTTTTTTCTCCGGTCACATTCTATGAATCGACTCAGTCCGAGTATCGAAACACGTACATCTCGCTCTCTCACTCTGTGCAGGAGGCTCGAGTACCGACTGTGGCGTATGATGAGGTGAGTGCCTCTGTAGTCCAAGTGACCCTTCTTCTCGATGGCATGCAAGCACCTCGACGCGGAATCGGGGGCCTATTTCGATCCGGGTGTGGTGGTCAGTTTACGGGGGACTCATGTAGTATGGAAAGTGCCAGTCTGAGGGAGATGCTTGGAAACGGCACACTGGAGGTGAATTTGAGAGAGCAGTACGTTTCTGTTGTTTGAATCACTCATATTTTCATTCCTGGTTCGGTTTTCTATGCACATCGTTACGGGTGTACTTATTAGTTGCATAGTTTCATGATACCTTGGAATTTTTTTAATTAGGCTTGTGTTGATGTGTCATTAGAAATCCGAGCATTCAACAACCTAGTCGTGTGATCCTCATTCCCACCCCGCATTGAGCTTCATGATGGTGGTGGTTGGTAAACAAAACGGTCCTCATTTGATGAACCGTTGTTTTGAGTTTTGCTATTCACTAATAGGTATGTTTGCGGCACAGCGGAGGTGGACGGGTGGATGAAGGAATTGATAGTCAGCCAGTCAGATCATGCGCCCTGCGGATGGGGCTTTCACTTTCGAGGTACTCATTCGAGCTGAATAGTTTGAAATGAACGTCCACCAACAACTCCCTT